TTCCCACATATGCCATGATTACTTGCCCATCAGGGGAATCCTGATATTCTTATCTACCTCCACAAAGGATTATGTGTCACTTCAAACCCTCTAGCCACCTGGAATACGGAAATTCCATTTACGTAAATTCACGACCCAGGTTGTTTCTCTGCTCTTGCTGGGGTGGGTGTTCGTGGGTGTTCACATCAGCCCTTTACCCTTGCATGGTGCTTTAGAGTTACAAGCAGCAAACACAAAGCTCAAGAAAAGGAAACATATCCTTTGGTCTGATGCAGAATGACAGGCAGAAGAAATCTAAGAGATTGTTATATAATCGGGGGGGGGTTGTTTAGAGAGAGAGTGAGCTACTCTGAAAAAAACTTAGCACACAAATCAATAGTTAGTTCTTCCTCTCTTCAATACAGTCTTTCACAAAAGTGCTCTTACCCAGGAGTCAAGCTCTGGAAAACCACTGGTACCTTAGGGAGCTTCTTAGCTGTTCCAGTAGAGAATGGATTATTTAAGGATTTCGGCCTTGGATTAAACTCCTTGGGAAGCTTCAAATGTTGCCTTTCCACATCAAACAGCATCCAAATCAGTTGTTGGCATAAACAACAGACAAGCTGCCTTTTCTCCTTGCCAGAAGAATTAGGTCCAATGGGACTTAGCGACCAAAATTTTTTATACCATGGCTTCGAGCTCAAGACTTCCCACCAACCAGCCACCCAATTTTTGTGGGTTCCAGCCATGGAATGACTGCTAAGAGACAAAATCTCAGACTTAGGGAGGGGAGGGCATGGGTCCAGCTTCACTCTGAGACATGGTAGAAAGTTCTCAGAAATATGCAGGAATTCATTTTGTCTAAACCTGAGATGTATTTGACCCTTATTGAATTTTAATGCAACTGGCAGAACTCTTAGATTACAGCCTTCTTCTTCTCATTTAGTTCACAGTTCAAAAACTAATATTACTCATCTATTAGCATTTCACAATGAATTATTTGTTTAGTAGCAAAGGAAAGTGATTAAAATATACAACGTGGTGCAAATCACCTTCTCATCCTCTGCACTGCTGTATAATTCATGCTGAAGGAAAAATGAGATTACAGCTCAGGGACTGTCTCCAGAATGAGTTATATTTGCCCCATTTCCCATTCCTGTTATAATCTTTGTCAAGACAGTAGAATGATATGTCCCATTTGCTGTCCCCTTCACAGTATTTGTCACACTACTGCAATAATATAGTTGCTGGATACCCATATACACATCATGAATTATTTGTTGATGTAAGGAAAGTGTTCTTGCATTCTCTTTGAGTAATCTGTCCTTCCCTTTAAATCCAGAAGCAGGTACAGATCAACATTATTCCTTTTTACTGCTTTTAGGATGAGACTTGCTACACTCATCCTTTTGTTAAGAAGTGGTAAAAGAGGAGGGGTTGAGCAGCACAGTGGCAGACACAGTGTATCACTTTGCTAATTGCAAGGAGAGATTCAGGTGTTGGCAGAGATCAAGCCTACTAATATAATATCACCAGTCCTAAAGGGCAAATAATTGCAACAGATAAATCACTATTCAATAAACACACCATTAGAACAGTCATCTACCCCTGAGCAAACAGCTTTGAGAAAACTTATCTTCTTATGCAAGCATTTGTGCAGGACTGATACTCATCAACTAACAGCATTTATTTAACTAATGTCAAAAATGGATATGCTCTGGTTGCTGCTAAGTAAGTGCAAATAATGGAAGAAAAGGAAAAAAATGAAAGCATGAAAAGTGGACACGGTGCTTCAAAATTAACAGGAAAAGGATGGAAAAAACATTAGGCTGTTTAGCTTGCACTACTAGAATAGCCTCACATGGCAGGATACTTGAAAAAGGGGTCAAGTAATTACCCTGAGCAAGCAATCCCGTTATTTCAGAGGTTCAGTTCAAAGACTTACCTGCCACTTCTTGGTTGGAAACTGTGCAAGAGCAGGTTCACTCCTGTGATTTCAATGTGCCCTGAGTCTGACTGCACTGGAAATTAGGTGGGTTTGAACACTGGGTCATAGTTGGGAAATGCAGCTCCAGGCCCAGACTCCTGAAGGAACTGCTCCCTCTGGGGTGGGACTCACCAGAGCTCTGAGCCAAGGAACCCTGCAGCTGGAGTTCGAGCTGCTCTAACACCTCTGCCTCCCCTGGGGCCCAGGATGAACACATACAAACTTCTGAAAACAAGGGAGCAGAGGCTGTGGGTAAGCAGAATGGGATCAAAACCAGGACATACAGAGTTAAGAGGGATCCCAGTCCTGCAATCCCAGAGCTGCTGGGGCAGCTTAGCAGCGAGCAGATGACTGTGGGCAGGTACACATCATGAGCATTCCTGGCTGTCTCTGCTTCATCTGCCAGCAGTAATCTGCGTTTGCAGTGTGAGCTGCAGCTGTGCAGGGAGATGGGTTTGCTTCGCTCTGGTACACTGAGAGCAGTTGTGTTCTGGCAGGACTGCTGCTGGTGCCAGCCACACTGGAGAAGACCCAAAGAAGTGTACCAGAGGAGGGAAGGAAAGAAGGCCAGCTGAATCAGACTGGCAGCAGAAGAAAACCTTCACTTTCAGCACTCTGCCTGAGGCATGAAGACACCAAGGGAACTAGACAGTTTGTGATCTGTGCTATGTTACAGGAATAAAAGAACAACCTTTGTGTTCCAGCCCAGAAGTCCTTCCAGTGCAGTTTGCTGTCAGACCTAGCTTTGGCAGGGCTGGGAGCAGGGACCCAGATCATACCGGAGCTAGCAGGGGCACAGACCATGCAGCAGAGCAACCACACAGAAGGAGCACAAGAATATGCTGCCCCCTCAACAGCTGGGAAAAATGAAGTGGCCAGCCCATCATGACACATGAGGAGGAGGGATGTACAAGCAGAAAGCCTGGTCAAAAGCAGCAGCAAGCCCACTGAGAAAAGGCAATTTCTCTATGACCACCAATTTGACAAATCTGCTTATGAAAAGGGTGAAGGAAGGGAATTTACCTCTGATAAATCCAGATTAGTAAAAGCATTTGTTCCTCCCAAGTCAAAGAGCCAGGGGATACACAGCAATACATATTTCTGCAAACAAGTAATTAGTATCTCATAACAGCTAAAAATTAACAGTGGAAACTTCCCCCTCCACAGAGAGAGACAGGGATGGTCAACAGCATGGTAGCCAGGGTAGCCCCAGGAGCAGAATGGCTTGCAGACCTGATTTGACCTGAAGGGCTTCACCTCTGCTAAAAATGACACAGAGGCCATTTTAGTTCTGCCCTAAGCTGGATGTCCATGAGCCAGCTATGCACTCACTGCATCTTTCTTTGGGAGGTTTGCAAGCTTAAGAATCCTAAATGAGAAAGAAATCAAAACAAGGAGACTGTCATTCATGCCACTTACACAGAAAATGAACTTTTCTCACCACACAAACAGAAGCAGCAATATGGCAGTCAGGTTTGTATTTAGAAAGAAAACAGTAGCAAGAATGCTCTCATTTTTTTCAGAGATTATACATTCTTCAATGACGCTTTTTGTATTGCTGTTTGAAATATGTATTTCCAAATGCGATACATTGTGCATGAGTTTAAGAAAAAAACAACAGAATAGTTACAATTCTGATGGTGAACAGATGCCTGGAGAGAATAGGAACAGAGAAAGCAGACGGATACTAATTCAACCTCCTAATACCACCCTCCTGGCACCCAGCTTTTTTCAGCTCAAGAGACATCTTCCCTATCCCAACATTTTTCTTCCCTAAGCTCTAAGGTTTTCAGTTAGTCTGTTCAGTTGAGAGCAAGATTATAGTCAGCTGTCAATGATTTTCAGCAACAGTCCAGAAGGATTTCTTATTTTAGACTAAGATGGGGTACTTCACATTGGTTAAACTTGCAATAAATCAAACACCAAACCTCAAAAAATAACCAAAAGCCACCAGTCAGGCTTACCAGAGGCAAAAGACTAGCTTAGTTTTTGCACACGTCAGTCAGACAACAAAGTAGGACAAGGAAATCAATGACCAGAGATTCCCCAGTGAGAGCCAGTTTTGCATTTGCTGCTATTCACAAAAGGTGTGTAGGTTGAAGTCACTTTCATATACCTTGAAAGCAAGACAGTTTTATATATATTATTCAGATCTTTATTCTTCCTTAAATGGTTCATTCACCTTAATAATGTATTTCCCCTTGTTAACTACAGCAGTTGTGTTTATGCAAAACCAGAAGAAGGTATGAATTTGCAGGAGCCATCATGGGGTTTCACAATGTACTGCACAAGGAAAGCAGGCAGTTGCATAATTATTCCAGCATGACATGTTCATGCATAAAATTAGGCCTTCTCTCCAAGCACTGTCTGTCAATAAGCCCTGTAAGTCTATAGGAGAGCTGTTCATAACACATTCAATTTTACCCATCAGTATGATGTCCAATTACGTGGGAAAGGGTGAAAGACTTTATGCCACATCTAAACATGACAGACATAACCTTTAAGTACTGGCAAATGCCAAGATGTTGCTGGCGGTAGGCATTCTGAACATGTTTGTGTTTTTCTTTGTACATGATTTCCCCCCTTTTTTTGATAAATGCAAATTGTTAAATATTTTAAACCCCTGCATTATCACATCTCACAAGAAGCAAGTTAGGAAAGCGGAAGAAAGTTTTAAACACCCTAACATACCCTCATGCATTTAGCACAATGTGGGGTTTGTTCCTTCCATGGGTACAAAAGCGGCCTTTCCCTACCCCTGGTTTTAGCACAAAAGTACTGAGCTGGAAGTTCAACACTAAGTCCAATCACTGGAATGCTACACAAAACTAAAAAAAAAAGCTAAATAATTTTGTTGTATTGTTCTGTGTAGAACACATCAAAAGCCTCTGTTCTACCTCCAAATGGTAAAGCTGATCTGTACCTCACAAATCTTTCCAAAGAGGCCAGCATGTCTTCCTTCTTAAAATACCTCCCAGCAGGGAGCACAACAGCAGGTCTAGTTTATCTTAATTACGTCTCTTTATCTCCATAGGAAGAAGAGATTACTGGCAGTAGGTTGCTGGCTAGAACAGAAGAAGCCAAAGAGCACAAGCCATTTCTATTTCTCCACTTCTCCCTGTCTCAGGTAACTGCAATGGGAAAACCTCATGGAGGGAGTGGAGACCAGGAGAATGATATTTCTCTTGTTTCAGGTTATGCATTGTAACTGAAAGTGTGTGGTCAGCGTCATAGTGGGAGTAGAAGAAAGAAAGAGTTCCTTTGTGGAGGATGTGCTTTGTCCTTGCTTACCATGTAGGGAAACAACAAAGAGAAAGTTGGCTGCAGCCACCAAGGCAGCGGGCTCTAGCAAAGACAAAACTTGAGAAACACAGCCTCTGCATCAACCAAAACAAAAGAGAAGGATACTTACAGTGCTGAGTGCCCGCAGGACAAAAAGTGACTGTCAGAATTTTCATTTGATCGGGTGCTGTGGACATGGTAGTTCTTTTTGCATCAGGGAAGTTACCTTTCTGACAGTTACTGACTCTGCTGTGTCTCTTTTAGCTGCCTTAGGGAGTAGGCTTACGGGTTTTGTGTTCCAGGGAAGGTGCTGTGGTGTTTGATTTGAAGCCAATGGCCTATTGGAAATTGTAGTTTGGTTGCTTTGTGGCTATTTTGGTTGCCCCTTTTTTAGTGTCCTGGCTGAGTGTTTAACTAACATGCCCTCAATTTTGTTTCTTTGTTATTAGAGAAATCCCATTCTGTTTTTCAGCACAGCATCATAAACTGCCTTAGGAGTCTGATGTGCCGCCCAGAGAAGTTGATGGGAACTAGAACAAGATTCTCCTGTGCTTCCTAGGGCCTAATTAGTGAAGTAAAAATAAGATTGTAACATAAATCTGAGTTACCATTCTCTTATATGCTTTGCTCAGCTGTGGTGATCTTTCCAAAACTGCTTTTCTTATAAGTTTTCATGGTCCTGAGGAACAATCTTTTTTGCTTCATTTACATCCTGGTCAGAACTAATAACTTACCAGAAAATAATTTCCAGAAAAGTTAATGGAAATATTTAGTGTGTAAGACTCAGCAGAAACACCTTGCAGAGGTAAAACAGACAATTAGAAGTCTTCCAGTTCACAACAAAAACTTAGCTCTCACTGACCTTATATCTGCTCCACATGCGGAATAAACATAAACACTTAAAATCAAGGCCTTACTGGCCTAATCTAGATTATTATTATGACTCTTCCTCTGTTGAATACTATGTATAAGAAATTCAAACACAGTTCAGTTGTCTTTTGCTGCCTATTTCCTGTGATGGGTAGCTACTGATGGTGAATAATATTTCCTTGCCATTAGGAGCTGGATTATGACGCACAGCTCATTCCATCAGATGAGTTTTGAGGATTTGCAGGTGGCAATTTGCAGGTCTCCGTTGTACAATGGACTTCTTGCCTTCACTCTAACTGTTGCATAAAGGCACAGTCAGCAGACTGGGCCACCACTAAAAAGGTGGAAGGAAGCTCTGGCCCTAAGATTCCCCAATTTAAAGGCAAAACATAGGTTGACCATAAAGCTAAATAAATGCTGATGAGTAGCCTCTCCTTTATCCTCATGTAGCGAAGGGTGGATTTACAGGCCTGAAGTCAGCAGGAAATCCTTTCAAGCAGCTTGGTAAAATTTAGCCAAGAATCCTTTTCCAGCAGATCTTTGGCAGACTGTGTGCACCCTTCTGGTTTCCTTCTTGATGAGGATCGTGCTATCCACATACTGAAGGACAAGAAAAATAAGACACTAGTAATAATAACATATTAATTTCAAAAGCTGGCAAGTTTTCTTCCTCCAAATTAGGAAGCACCCTTGAGCCAGCTGGACAGTGTGAGTACTGGCTATCAATGTTCTTTTCCAAAACAGAAGTCATTTGATAACTTCTTTCATGTATAAATCTTTGTCTCTTTGAAACATGATCTGTATCTTCCTGCTGTCTATAAAGAAGCTGTACCCCAGAAAGACCCCAGTTCTGACTGGGGCCTTTGGGACAATACAGTTGATAAATTCAAGTGATGATCATGATGACTGCTTTATTAAGCTGTAACACTCCAACTGTTGGCATGTAGCCAACAAGTGAAATGGTTGCCTGTTTCACTGTTCTGGGAATCCCACAACAGTCTGACAAATCTGAATTTTATTGCGAGGCCTGTGTTTGAAGTTCCAGCCATACAGGCCTCCAGGACTAGTGGCCCAGTGTCTGAGCATGGCTTTTATGTCAGAAAGCATGGGGAGGTTTCGTAGCAAGAACAGTATGAGAGCTTCTGAACAGGAAAATATCCATACCCAAAATACTTATCCACCTGCAGTTTACCAGTGAAGGCCCAAACAAATTACTGACTTGCTGATCTTTTCTCCTGTGAAAAATGTACAGTCATGGTGGAAGAGTAAGATTCAAGTGTGCATGGTACTTTCTTCTGAAGAAATGGAATAGGGGTAGCATATGTACATCTCATTCAGCAAGCTTCAGCTGTTGTGGTGGTGAGTGGTAGAAAACGGAAGACTCCATTTTGTGCTATACTTGTGTAACTCTTCATTCTGTAAAAGACAAACATGCATCACTCATGCTCGTGTTTCATGCTCAAGACTGTTAAACAGCAGTTTATGTTGTGCCATATTTCTTTTTGTTCCTGACAGTCCTTTGTTATTGTAGATATCAAAACAAGGTTGTTATAATTTTCACTATGCTCAGAGCTGGAGAAATCCAGCTAGGCATCAAGAATCATTTTCTAAATCTACCCTCCTGCAAATGGGGAGGTGGGGTAAAAAAAAGCACAAAACCATGGGAAAAACTATCCATATTGTGCAGTTCCTCCTTTCCTCTCCCACTCGGGGCCTATTTTCTTTCGTAACCAGCTCAATGGCATTTTCAGACAGCTGAATGCTTTCATTTTTTCTAGCTAGATTTTTCTAAGCAATCAGAATTCTGCTGCAGCATTAAATTAAAAAAAAAAAATAAATAGAATGAGCATTTCAACTACAAGCAGTCTTTGCTCTTTCACTGCAGCATGGCTCCCATCCAAAGCCAATTATGCAAAACAACAGCACCTCGGCACCACTACCACAGCCATCTAAAGGGAAGAATTACACCTACTCAAAGCTGAAAACATTTTCAAGAAATTTAATTATTTTCTTACTTTCTCGCCTCAAGCGTGCTTTTTACCTTACTTCACTCTAAAACGCCTTGGGTGTTATTCATCTAGAACATATGGAGCACTATATAAATCCAAGTTGTTGCTAATTTTACTTAAAAGTCAGGTTTTATTTTCTGTTTTTACTTCTGCCTGTTTATACTCCTTGAAACATCTTCTGCATTGCCCCAGATGTCGCTTCTCACAGTGCTTCAGCCTTTGTACATGTTAATCTTGCTTCCTCAGTACTTGCAATTTTTTTGCCTCATACAGTGATGGAGAGAAATGCAATGTCAAAAACTAATTGTCAAAGAAAATAGCAAAATTATTTAAGTTCATGCCTTTAAATTCAGTATCAATTAAGTTTAATGGTCAAAATCTTTTCATTGATTTATGAAACTGTGCAGATCATGATTTCTAAAGGAAGAAGTGACTCTGAGACAGCTCTATCTAATAGAGAGATTTCTCTTTATTTTAGAGTCTTCTGCCTTAACTTTTACATACTACAGAAATAATTTGCAGCTTTTTGTTCTCATATTAGGCTTTCAATGATCTTGGTCAAGAACTCCAAGAATACTGATAACAGCTGCTGGCAAAGAATGTTCCCTGTGCTGCAGTGGGCTGTAAGACAGAATAATCGAAGCATGATTTACTCTCAGATATGGCACCAGTGGACTCTCCAGAATATCTATCAGAGTTATATTCTGGAGGCACAGTGAGTTGTCAAATATTCGCCTAAGTTGTGCTGGTCTTCTAGCAGGTATTCATTTAACAGCTGGGATGCCCAGCAGGCTGTACTCATTTCCAAAATGAGAAAGTGTTCTTCATAAGGAAGAAATCTTAATTTAGAGTATAATGTTTCACATGTAAACCACACAAATATTTGCATAAATATTGATACTGTTTCATGTGTGCACTCATACTCCCTAAATGAAAAATGGTTGAAATGAAAGGGCTGAGTGATTTCTTCACTCTCAAGCAAGCTCATACAGTGTTTTGTATCTTCCATCTCTTGGTTTGTAGTGTGAAAATGCTACATATGAGGCTAAGAGGAAATAATGATTTTCTTCTTTATGTATCCCTGGGTCCTCTTTCAGCTTGAACACTCTGGGTGTGGACTTCACCTGGCTCCAGGTTCTCTCAGGTAGTTGGCTCCCCAGAAACCATGAACACTGCTTGCTCCTGGTCAAACACAGCAAAGCTATTACCTTACTTTTTTGGGACAGTGGCTATAAATCATTCCTTTTCAATTAAGTTTTCACTCCTTTATGTACAGTTCTTTGCTAGCATGAACTGAGAACTGTGAATGAAAGTAGTAATTTGAAAGAATTCTCTTTGACTTGGGCAAACAACCAACTTTGACCAGACAACCCCTAAAATATACAAGGCACTGAAGTGAAGGGGGAATGGGGAGACAAGAATAGGAAGAAGAGAGTGGAACTATACATAGGATGAGGGCAACGGTAAGCAGAAGAATAGATCTTGGCCCTGCGGCACAAATTTTCTCTTGGAAAGCAAATGATTAATACGGTATAGAGCCAGCCATCAGCCTGAATTGTTCTTGACATCATGGAAAAGAACAAAATAATAGACAAATGCAAATTTTGAAAGAAGCAAATACGTACTACATCCTACAGCATGTATGTTTCTATTAATTGAGCTTGCAGTATGCAGATCTGAGTGGGAAGAGGCAAAAAATCTGGAATTTAGGTCTTGGTCCTCTTCGGAAGCTTCCACTCATTTAACCACCACACATACTGACCTTGTATCTCTGCAGCTTGTCTCAGTACTTGGACTTGCTCCTGCTGCTGAAAGCAATGGTAAGACCATCATTGTGCTCAAAAGCACTGAAATTGTAAATAGTCTCTCTGGAATCACTCAGCATGGATATCAACAGAGCTGTGTTGATGCCTTCTTACAGTAAAGTCCAAATTTTTCACATCAGAATTCTAGCAAAGACCTATGG